CTTCTTCCAATACACAACTTCTGCTTTTTTACTTCTAAGGAACAAAAATACTGCAAGAACTACATTTAACTCCATAATTTTCTACACAAGGACTTAAAGGTTGCCATAATTTTAGAAGTGTATGCCAGGAAATACAATATTAGCTACCAGTGTGTTCAGTAGCATTAAGAGCTGAAAAATAGCTTAACTCATTCACAGCAAAGTAGGTAAATAACTATTGTGCTCTACTCTCCAAGTTACTGAAATATGTGTGGAAGGCATGTAACATACAAAGCATTTAATTTAATTTAATTTAATTTAATTTAATTTAATTTAATTTAATTTAATTACTTCCCTTGTGAAGGAAAAGAGGAAGTTACTTACCTTTGTGCAGTAATGACGGTTCTTCAAGATGTGTGTCCCCATGGGTACTCTACTGTTGGTGGTGGGTAGTCCCGGCACCGCAGATTGGAGTTTTCACGAGCAGTGGTCAGCCGGACCATGCATGCGCGGCACACACCTCGTGCCGTTCGCACCTTTTGATCTCTTGCATGGTCCAGGGTCTGCCAATTCCTCAAGTCTGCCCTGGTATCTGCAAGATATAATAAGAAACTCCGAAGAGGGGAAGAGATTGGGTAGTGGAGCACCCACAGGGACACATATCTTGAAGAGCCATCATTACTGCACCAAGGTGAGTAACTTCCTCTTCTTATCTGAGTAGTGTCCCCATGGGTTCTCCACTGTTGGTGACTGTGTAGCAGTACCCGAGTATAAGAAAGGTGGGTAACGGAGTCACTGCTTATTGACAGCTGAGATAACTGCAGATGCTACTGCAGTGTCAGTAAATAGCTTATTAGAAATTGCATAGTGTTTCATGAAGGTATCGTTAGTGGACCATGTGGCCTCTTGACAAATATCTCTAAGAGGAACTCTGTGAAGGAAGGCTGTGGAAGTTGCTATAGCTCTTGTAGAATGAGCTCTTAGTGTCTCTGGCAGTGGTTTATTTCGTATGGCATTGCACTTTTTAATGCAAATAACAAAAATGTTTGAGATCAGTTGTGATGAGAGGGGTTGGCCCCTGCAGTGTTCCGCTACTGAAATTAGTAGACACTCTGTTTTGTGAAAGGTTAGAGTTCTCTATAAATAGAAGGCAAGTAATCTATTCATGTTGAGCAAATGAAGCAAAGTCTCGCAAGCACTTGCATGTGGCCTGGGGTAGAAAGCTGTAAGTATGATTGGCTTGTTTATGTGGAAATCTGAGCAAGCCATTGGAATGAAGGATGGATGAGGATGCAGCATTACTTTGTCCATGCTGAAAATGGTGTATGGTGGCACTGCCATTAGGGCTGCTATTTGTCCAATTCTGCGGGGGGAGGTAATGGCTAGCAGAAATGTAACTTTGAGTATCATCATTTGAGTATCATCATTGGACGATCAACTGGTTACCTGAAGTGTTTGTACACTAATGCGAGAAGCCTGGGCAACAAACAGGAAGAACTGGAGGCCCTGGCCCAGACCAAGAAATATGATTTAATTGAGATAAGAGAGACTTGGTGGAATGACTCACATGACTGGAGCACTGTCATGGAAGAGTATAGACTGTTCAGGAACAACAGGCAGGGGAGAAAAGGAGGAGGAGTTGCACTATATGTAAGAGAGCACTACGATTGCTCTGAACTCCAGTATAAAGAGGGAGAAAAACCTGTTGAGAGTCTATGGGTTAAGTTTAAAGGAGCAAACAACAGCAGTGATGTTGTGGTTGGTGTTTGCTACAGGCCACCGAATCAGGTGGATGAGGTAGATGAGGCTTTCTTCGGACAACTGAGCGAAGCTTCCAGATCGCAGGCCCTGGTTCTCCTGGGGGACTTTAATCACCCTGACATCTGCTGGGAAACCTATACGGCAGTACACAGGCAATCCAGGAAGTTTTTGGAGAATGTTGGGGATAACTTCTTGAAGTGTAGTTTTCCTAGATCCCTTAAACCGGTACAAGGTGGAGGGGAGGAGGAGGACTTGACAAACCAGCTGATGAATTGAACTCTTAGGAGTTACATACCACACTGGGTTAAACACATGATGAATTAGGAGTTTCAAGCAGCGGTTGCACCCAAAGTCACACCATCATATTTGGGTCATTCGTTGTCACCAACTCCTCCTTCCCCACCCCAAAGTGTGAGCTCTGTAAAGAGCTCAAAATGAACTCTCACCTGGGAGATGAACTGTGTCCTTTGAGTGCACTAGAGCTGATTTATGGTTTAATATGGTGCAAAAAATCATGGTCTCAGTATATAACCAGGTTTTGCACCATTACATTTTGGCATGACAGCAGGCTAGACCAGATGACTCAGCATTCTTGACTGATTGAATTTTGGATTGCGAGATGAAGGATGTAAAAGATAAAGGAATCCATATGGTTCAGCATCAGAGGAAGCATCTGCACTCACATTCAAACAATTCTGCGTGCATGAATGATGTTGCAGATGGCTTTAGCTGACCACAACAGACAGTTCTCACCATATCAAGATGCTTTCAGTCGGTCACCACAAGAATATCTAAGAAAGGCCAGTAAAATGCAGAGGACATATGTATACCTTTCTCAGGTGTCTACAGCTTGATGATTGATGGCACAGTTAGAAGGGACAGTAAAACTGGATACAATATTTTGTAATTGTAGATACACTTCACAGCTTTTTTCTGTTCTGGAATAAACATTATCTCTTCTAATGTCGCCCGGTGGAAGTGCCCATAAACTGGTTTATAGGAATGAAATAAGCCAAAACTGTGGGGGAAACCAAAAACACAAAACCAGATAAATTATTTTACCCCCTCTTTAAAAACACTATCCATTTAGTACACATTGACTTCAAGTTACGGGTCTGTTTGTGACTTCAAGTACGACAGCCTCCTCAGTGTAAATTCTCAGGATTTACATCATAAGAACATAAGATCCTCAGCATCAGCTGTCACAACGCATTGGAGAGGGTCCAGCGGAGGGCAACCAAAATGATTAGGGGGCTGGAGCATATGACCTATGAGGAGAGGCTGAGGGACTTGGGTCTGTTTAGTCTGCAGAAGTGAAGAGTGACGGGGGATTTGATAGCAGCCTTCAACTTCCTGAAGGGAGGTTCCAAAGAGGATGGAGAGAAGCTGCTCTCAGTAGTGACAGATGGCAGAACAAGGAGCAATGGTCTCAAGTTGTGGTGGGAGAGGTCCAGGTTGGATATTAGGAAAAACTATTTCACTAACAGGGTGGTGAAGCACTGGAATGGGTTACCTAGAGAAGTGGTGGAGTCTCCATCCCTAGAGGTGTTTAAGTCTCGGCTTGATAAAGCCCTGGCCGGGTTGATTTAGTTGGAATTGGTCCTGCCTAGAGCAGGGGGCTGGACTTGATGACCTTCTGAGGTCTCTTCCACTTCTATGATTCTATGAAAGCGGAGTGGTTGCTATTGGCTCAAAGGAAGCACGGGTAAGAGTGTTGGGAATCAGCTCCATCAACTGATCTGTGGAACGCGGTTATTGCTGTTACGTGTACTTTCAAATACTCTAGGCCAGGGGTGTCCAAACTTTTTTCAGAGAGGGCCAGATTTGAAGAAGTGAA